CCCCCAAAATCCCCTCAAATCACCCCAAAATCCTCTCAAAATCCTCCAAGATTCCCAGAAATTCCCAAATTCTCCCAAAATTCCAGGAATTTCCCCCAAAATTCCCAAATTTCCCCAGGTGAGCCAGTGGCACGAGCTGGTGGTGTTCATGGCCAGCACGGAGATCTACATCCCCAAACCCCACCTGAGACCCCCCAAAACCCCCCAAAATCCCCTCAAATCACCCCAAAATCCTCCAAAATTCCCTAAATTTTCTGATTTTTCCCAAAATTCTGGGAATTCTCCCCAAAATTCTGGGATTTTCCCAGGTGAGCCAGTGGTAGGAGCTGATGGTGTTCACAGGCAGCATGGAGATCTACGGCCCCAAACCCCACCTGAGACCCCCAAAATCCCCTCAAATCACCCCAAAATTCCCCACAATCCTCCCAGATTTTTCCCAATTTTTCCAAAATTCTGGGAAATGTTCCCAAAATCCCCGAATTGTCCCCAAATTCCCCCAGGTGAGCCAGTAGTAGGAGCTGGTGGTGTTCACGGCCAGCATGGAGATCTACAACCCAAACCCCACCTGAGGCCCCCAAAATCTCCCCAAATTCCCTCAAATCACCCCAAAATTCTGGGAATTTTCTGATTTTTCCCAAAATTCCGTGGATTTCCCCCGAATTTCCCCCAGGTGAGCCAGTGGTACGAGCTGGTGGTGTTCATGGCCAGCATGGAGATCTGTGTCCCCAAACCCACCTGAGACCCCCAAAACTGCCCCAAAACCGCCCAAAATCCCCTCAAATCACCCCGAAATTCTGGGAATTTTCCCAAAATTCCATGGATTTCCCCCAAAATTCCCAAATTTCCCCCAGGTGAGCCAGTGGTACGAGCTGGTGGTGTTCACGGCCAGCATGGAGATCTACGGCTGCGCCGTGGCCGACAAGCTGGACAACAACCGCAGCATCCTCAACCGGCGCTACTACCGACAGGTGAGACACACCTGGACAGGTGAGACACACCTGGACACACCTGGGACACACCTGGGACACGCCTGGGACACACCTGGGACACACCTGGGACAGGTGAGACACACCTGGACAGGTGAGACACACCTGGGACACACCTGGGACACACCTGGGACACGCCTGGGACACACCTGGACAGGTGAGACACACCTGGGACACACCTGGGACACACCTGGACAGGTGAGACACACCTGGGACACGCCTGGGACACGCCTGGGACACACCTGGACAGGTGAGACACACCTGGGACACACCTGGGACACACCTGGACAGGTGAGACACACCTGGACACACCTGGGACACACCTGGGACAGGTGAGACACACCTGGACACACCTGGGACACACCTGGGACAGGTGAGACACACCTGGGACACACCTGGGACACACCTGGACAGGTGAGACACACCTGGGACACGCCTGGGACACACCTGGGACACACCTGGGACAGGTGAGACACACCTTGGCAGGTGAGACACACCTGGACACACCTGGGCAGGTGAGACACACCTGGGACACACCTGGGACAGGTGAGACACACCTGGACACACCTGGGACAGGTGGGACACACCTGGGATGGGTGAGCCACACCTGGGCAGGTGAGACACGCCTGGACACACCTGGGACACACCTGGGACACACCTGGACAGGTGAGACACACCTGGGCAGGTGAGACACACCTGGACACACCTGGGACACGCCTGGGACACATCTGGGACACGCCTGGACAGGTGAGACACACCTGGGCAGGTGAGACACGCCTGGGACACGCCTGGGACACGCCTGGACAGGTGAGACACGCCTGGACAGGTGAGACACGCCTGGACACACCTGGGACACACCTGGACAGGTGAGACACGCCTGGGCAGGTGAGACACACCTGGGACACGCCTGGGACACACCTGGGATGGGTGAGACACATGGGTGTGTCCGTGGGCATGTCCAGGTGCGGTGGGTGTGTCCAGGTGCGGTGGGCGTGTCCGTGGGTATGTCCAGGTGTGGTGAGCGTGGCCCAGGTGCGGTGGGCGTGTCCCAGGTGTGGTGGGCGTGTCCAGGTGCGGTGGGTGTGTCCCTGGGCGTGTCCAGGTGCGGTGGGCGTGGCCCAGGTGCGGTGGGCATGTCCAGGTGCGGTGGGCGTGTCCAGGTGCGGTGGGCATGTCCAGGTGCGGTGGGCGTGTCCAGGTGTGGTGGGCGTGTCCAGGTGTGGCGGGCGTGTCCCTGGGTGTGTCCAGGTGCGGTGGGTGTGTCCCTGGGCGTGTCCAGGTGTGGTGGGTGTGTCCCTGGGCGTGTCCAGGTGTGGTGGGTGTGTCCCAGGTGCGGTGTCCAGGTGCGGTGGGCGTGGCCCAGGTGCGGTGGACGTGGCCCAGGTGTGGTGGGCGTGTCCCAGGTGTGGTGGGCGTGTCCCAGGTGCGGTGGGCGTGTCCCAGGTGCGGTGGGCGTGGCCCAGGTGTGGCCCAGGTGTGGTGGGCGTGGCCCAGGTGTGGTGGGTGTGTCCAGGTGCGGTGGGCGTGGCCCTGGGCGTGTACAGGTGTGGTTCAGGTTTGGTGGGCATGTCCCAGGTGCGGTGGGTGTGTCCCAGGTGCGGTGGGCGTGTCCCAGGTGTGGTGGGCGTGTCCAGGTGAGGTGGGTGTGTCCCTGGGCATGTCCCAGGTGTGGTGGGCGTGTCCCAGGTGTGGTGGGCGTGTCCCAGGTGTGGTGGGCGTGTCCAGGTGTGGTGGGCGTGTCCCTGGGCGTGTCCAGGTGCGGTGGGTGTGGCCCTGGGTGTGTCCAGGTGTGGCCCAGGTGCGGTGGGCGTGTCCAGGTGTGGTGGGCGTGTCCCTGGGCGTGTCCAGGTGAGGTGGGTGTGGCCCTGGGTGTGTCCAGGTGTGGCCCAGGTGCGGTGGGCGTGTCCAGGTGCGGTGGGCGTGGCCCTGGGCGTGTCCAGGTGTGGTCCAGGTGCGGTGGGCATGTCCCAGGTGCGATGGGTGTGTCCCTGGGCGTGTCCCAGGTGCGGTGGGCGTGGCCCTGGGCGTGTCCCAGGTGCGGTGGGCGTGGCCCAGGTGCGGTGGGCGTGTCCAGGTGTGGTGGGCGTGGCCCAGGTGCGGTGGGCGTGGCCCAGGTGTGGTTCAGGTGCGGTGGGCATGGCCCAGGTGCAGTGGGCGTGGCCCTGGGTGTGTCCAGGTGTGTCCCAGGTGTGGTGGGCGTGTCCAGGTGCGGTGGGCGTGGCCCAGGTGCGGTGGGCGTGGCCCTGGGTGTGTCCAGGTGTGGTTCAGGTGCGGTGGGCGTGGCCCAGGTGTGGTGGGCATGGCCCAGGTGCGGTGGGTGTGTCCCTGGGCATGTCCCAGGTGCGGTGGGCGTGGCCCAGGTGCGGTGGGCGTGGCCCAGGTGCGGTGGGCGTGGCCCAGGTGCGGTGGGCGTGTCCAGGTGCGGTGGGCGTGTCCAGGTGCGGTGGGCGTGGCCCTGGGTGTGTCCAGGTGTGGTTCAGGTGCGGTGGGCGTGTCCAGGTGCGGTGGGCGTGGCCCTGACGCGGCCCCGCCCCCAGCACTGCACGCTGGAGCTGGGCAGTTACATCAAGGACCTGTCGGTGGTGCACAGCGACCTGTCCAGCATCGTCATCCTGGACAACTCCCCCGGCGCCTACCGCAGCCACCCAGGTACCCAAAA